ATCGAAACCCGGTTTCTAGCGTTATAAGTCCGCAGACATACCGCTGTGCCACTGGGGGCTTTTACCTCTTCAACCATAATAATGTTAGTGTTCTTCTGACTTAAAACAATGAACCTTCTCTTTGTCGTTATTCGCCATTGTAATAGTTCAGGTTATCCCGCTAGATGTCGTTTTTCTCTGAAGGTTTGTTTTGTTCTGTCTGTTTGTTTGTTATTAAGCACAAAGCTAAAAAATGGACTATCTATGTTGTGCCCCTTCATGGATATCGAAGCCCGACTTTTCGTTGTTGTTGTAAGCCCGAAGACTTACAGTTGAACCACCAGGGGGCTTCTCTGAATAAAATTATACACAACCCTTGACTTACAATGTTTTCTCTCTGTTGAGAATTAATCTCCTCTATATACGTATTTTCACTCACGGTTAAGTACTAATTAGATTTAAGCGCTTCAACTAACGCTTCTATTATATTTCTATATCCTAATTCCTTTAATAAATGACCTTAAACCTAGATAATTCATTGTGTGATTTGAGCTGGAACATCAAAGCAATTTAATTCTGCAAGAAGCTGATCAACTACCTATGTTATTAAGCATGACTCGTGTTGCGATCCTGATGGAATCCACATTTCAGTCTGAAGTAGACTGGTAATAAAGGCAACGGTTTCTTTTTACTACTGAAACCGAGTCTATTCCTTACGCTCTGACACACTCAAGATACTCTCTGTGTCATCGTATCGGAATGAGCTATGATATCAAACTGAACAATGATATATCCTGTATTGTTGTAATAAAATGAGTTATATTGTGAATTATAATTGCAAAGAGGTTAACATGTACTACTGTAAAAAGAGTTATGATATACACGTGTGTTATCATGACAAAATTTGTTGTTGATGGGCAATGGTATTCTCATTTTTTATCTTAATAGAATGGGTTATGATATATCGCCCTTTTTTTTTTAACAGCCCTCAAATGCTTTTATAATAAAGTTTAGCTGCCTTTAACATCAACCACTTTATGCCCTCCCTCCTACGTGTTTCAATAGGTTTACCATTTCTATAAACTGAATTGAGATTTTGGTCCAAAACAATTGAAGTTCCTAAAATAAACTTTGTAGAGTCATTCGTCTTTATATGCTAACACTTAAGGTTTATATGTTAACTAGAATTCATAATTTTTTCAGGTTTGAAGATCGTATCCAGTTTTCTCAACACTTCACCTGCCAAGTTTAGTCCTACACTGTGGGAGAAAGTCACACACAAACAAACACACGACGTGTTTCTTTAAGGTACCTCCCAGTCTTCTAACAGTTGAGCCGACGTAAGCGCCCCCACACGTTGGGCAGCAGAACACGGGATGGTCCAGGAGTTTCTTTATTTATTTTGGAGAAGCCTCACCCCCCCCCCCCATAATATGAGAAGCTAAAACGCACCTGAAAGGTCACCCAGACTTAATGGTGGTCTAGGAGTAGGTTTTCAGGGTCGCTAGACCCGAAAGTTGTATGGAATTTAGTATTTCTAATCCTTTCGTGATCCTGACTCGTCGTGTTTGAACCTGTGTTCATATTTCCCATTTACAAGCTAGCGGGATCAAACTTGGCACACATGCTCAGGTACCATAAGCGAGTGTCCTAACGTTGTTGTTTTTTTGCGAGGGGGGTACGGATCCTCCCTTTGGGGTATCTATAGAAATAATTAAAGAGAATGAAGAGCTCGATGGGTACATTGGAGCCTCTATGAACCACGAAGGGATCTTTGAGCCTCGAAGCAGAGCGCGGAAATTTTATGCTGGTCATACTTAGCATGGTGAAGAGAATGCTGTGATGTGTTTTCTCGAAATTTCTTTCACCAGTTTGAAAAAAAAACGAGGCCTAAATTTGAAATTGGTGGGCTTATTTCAGTAGCTTTATTTTGTCGTAAGAAATTGTTATCTGTTTGCTACCTAAATTAAATTGTCAGTCAGATCAATTATAATTTTACAGATTACAACTTTCAAACTGAGCTGTTTAAGACGATATAACGTACTCTGTAATTAGGTCCTGTCGTTTCGAAAGGTCGTTGAAAATGAATTCGACTGCATGAACGTCTAAGTGTAAGTTTCAACTTGTGCGATAGAAGTTCGAGGTTGAATGTTACAAGCGTGAACAAGTAATTAGATAAATTAATGAATTTAATCACTTACACACAATCAATAACAAATCAAGCTAGTTATCTAAGTTCATTCACCAGGCATGAAATTATCTTGGTCCAGAATACAATTGTTGGCATCGGTTTTGTTTGTGATTTCACTTACAAAATGAAGTATAGAGATTATTTATACTTTTCAAAGATTACCATTGTCTTAACGCTTAAATGTACCGACTCTTGCTAGTCTGTAGTTTAGAAATACAAAAAAGGGTCAATAAAAGAAACTTGTGTTATTTCTATCTCTTTAGATTCTGAATTGAAGCCGTATTAACCCTTGAATCCGAAGTTACATCATCTTGATATGTATAATGATTCATTGGTTTGAACGCTTCTTTAATAGATTAGGTTAAAGCTTTCTTTTTTTTTTTGCTTACTTTTAACGCATGACAGTAATTACTATAATTCGTGGTAATAATGATGGTATTTTTTATTTATATTCTGTGTATAACTCATATGATATTAGTGACCCTGTAACCCAGAAAGTCATGGTTGGTTGTTTTAGAACAAAGCCGCATTGCGTTGTAAGTTCGTAAACTTACCGCTGCCCCACAGGGTAACAAAGAGCCTTAGACCCACAAGCAATTAGTTATATAGATAGTTTATATGTATTTTGTTGTTGTTGTTAAGCACGAAGATACACAATGGGCTATTTGTGCTATGTTCACCAAGACTTCGAAACCAGTTTTTTTTCGTTTTTAGAGTTATAAGCTTTGATACTTGCTGCTGTGCTACTGGGGGCGTGGGCAAATAGGTTACAAAAAATATGTTTAAAATCCAGTCAATATTACTATGGTTATGCGAGTTATGACTAATATTAAGTTATAATTTGAGCCACGTTACAGAGACATCTATTTAATTTGAGCCACGTTACAGAGACGTCTATACAATTTGAGCCACGTTACAAAGACGTCTATACAATTTGAGCCACGTTACAGAGACATCTATTTAATTTGAGCCACGTTACAGAGACGTCTATACAATTTGAGCCACGTTACAAAGGCGTCTATATAATTTGAGCAACGTTACAGAGACATCTATTTAATTTGAGTCACGTTACAGAGACGTCTATACAATTTGAGCCACGTTACAGAGACATCTATTTAATTTGAGCCACGTTACAGAGACGTCTATATAATTTGAGCCACGTTACAGAGACATCTATTTAAGTTTTTTTTTTTTCAATTTCAAACGCGAAAAAAAAAATCACAAACTTAATTGTTTTAAAATGATAAGTTCAACATTATCACTGTCAACCAGGAACCAAAATTTGGCGTAGATCCCTTAAAAGGGGGGAGAAGTAGCGGTACGAAACGCAAAACTTACCATAACAATAGTAAAACAAAGAGTATAAAGGTAAAAATTTGAATTGAATACTAAAAATAATTTGAAAAGGCTGAAAACAGTATAAAAATAAATATCCACAAAATGGACAAAAAAATATACAAAAGACAAGATGAATTACGAGTAAAAGAAATAACTATAAATATAATGGACACTCAAAATACTTCAATAAAAAATACAATAAACGACAAAAAAATTACTCTATTGTGACGATATAATAAAACGTCGTTAAAACGATATGAAACGCACAGCTGGGAATATAATAAGCAACTCCGAACACTGAAAAGATTTAGTCGTTCAAAACAAAATAAAATGGACGCTCAGAAAACCGATGTTAGGCAGCATTTATTTATCGCTTCTTAAAAATGCTTAATATTTTCAACGTCAACTCCCTAGTTAAAAAGAAAACACGTGCCACTTGACGCGGTTTCATTTTTTATTGACGAAGAATTGAAGAAAAACTAAGAACTCCGGTCTCTCTTAAATATAGGTTTCACGATCTACTCTACTGATAGCGTTGTGCCCGGCATGGCCATGTGGTTAGGGAGCTCGACCAGCAATCTGCGGGTCGCGGGTTCGAATCCCGGTCCCACCAAACATGGTCGTCCTTTCAGCCGTGGGGGCGTTATAATGTGACAGTCAATCCCACTATTCGTTGGTAAAAGAGTAGCCCAAGAGTTGTCGGTGGGTGGTGATGACTAGCTGCCTTCCCTCTAGTCTTACACTACTAAATTAGGGACGGCTAGCGCAGATAATTCTCGTGTATCTTTGCGCGAAATTAAAATAAACAAATAAAAGATAGCGTTGTTATACAATGAGTGAATGTTCAAGAAACGCTCTGTTGATTAGAATAAGCGGCTGTTTCACGATCTGTTCTGTTGACAACATGGTGGTCAGAATGAACGGCTGTTTCACGATCTGTTCTGTTGACAACATGGCGGTCAGAATGAACGGCTGTTTCACGATCTGTTCTGTTGACAACATGGTGGTCAGAATGAGCTGTTGTTTCACGAACTGTTCTGTTGACAACATGGCGGTCAGAATGAACGGCTGTTTCACGATCTGTTCTGTTGACAATATGGCGGTCAGAATGAGCTGTTGTTTCACGAACTGTTCTGTTGACAACATGGCGGTCAGAATGAACGGCTGTTTCACGATCTGTTCTCTTGACAACATGGCGGTCAGAATGAACGGCTGTTTCACGATCTGTTCTGTTGACAACATGGTGGTCGGCTGTTATGTGATCCAAGTCAAACCTTCACGAAACGTCTCTCGAACTTGCTGAATTTCAATTTACAGAATGTTGGAGTAATTTTCTAAGACATTGATTAACAAACCTAACTAATTTCGTACATCATGGGCTAATTCAAAATAAAAGTTCTTGTTTTGTTTCGTTTATAAATCTTTATTGTTGTTTTTTCTCCACTACACCAATTTATTAGGATATAGAAATGTTATTAGATTGGTCCAAAAATATGAAAATATACTTTAGATAATCTGTGAAAAGTAGAATGAGCAGACATTTTGAGTATGATGAATATAATGAAATTGTCAGCTCTGCTGAATTTTTATTTCTTAATGGTGATTTTTTTAATTTCGCTACAAGAGGCTAGTTAAGCCTGAAATGTGTGCAAGATTCAATCGTGAGAAATAACCAATAATATAACCAATAAAAATGTCATTTTGCCAACTTAAAAATATATTTAAATATTAAAAAAATCAGGAAATCAAATTTGATAATTGGCATTAATTTCAAGAAATATTTCACACAATTATAAGTAATTTACACTACATAACACATACAGTACATAGAAGCTTGTGTAATACTCAACACTTTCTGGTTTATAATATACTAATTAGATTTTGTTTAGTTAAAAATTAATTTCGTTATGTATATTTACTGAAAAATCTTAATCACTGCTTCATACGTTAATCAAACTCTGGGGTATAAATGAATCAATTTTGCAGTTTTGAGGTGCTCAAACAACAATTTTGCGGTTTCTAGGGACTCATGCAACAATGTTGTAGCTTCTAGGTGCTCATGTAACAATGTTGTAGTTTCTAGGTGCTCATGCAACGATGTTATAGTTTCTAGGTGCTCATGCAACAAAGTTGTAGTTTCTAGGGACTCATGCAACAATGTTGTAGCTTCTAGGTGTTCATGTAACAATGTTGTAGTTTCTAGGTGCTCATACAACAATGTTGTAGTTTCTAAGTGCTCATACAACAATGTTGTAGTTTCTAGGTGCTCATGCAACGATGTTATAGTTTCTAGGTGCTCATACAACAACTTGTATGTACATTGTAAGACTTACTTTTTTTTTCTGTTTGAGAAATACTGTATTTATAATCTGACTTACGATGTTAAGGAAATAAATTCTTAATTTAGGTTTGCCAGGAAGAGTTTGTTGTTAATCCAAGTTGATGCCACATATTCACAGTTTTATAAACTACGATTCTTAACACCATGTATGCCAATTTGTATCTGTTTGCGTTGTTTTAGTATACCTGTTGACATTTAGACTAGTCATAGAAATAAACTATTACTTTCTTTCCTCAGGCCTTACAACGCTAGAAACCGGGTTTCGATACCCGTGGTAGGCAGAGCACCGATAGCCCATTGTGTAGCTTTGTGTTTAATTCCAAACAAACAATTCTTTCCTCAGTAAAACGGTCCGG